TATATATATATATCGGCACCACCATGTATCGAAGCGTAACCATATACCAAAAGCTCTGTATGTCAGCCTCCAGATGGTAGCCATTTTGGAGATCAGTATTGATGCTTTGTCGAACACTGACGTCCAGTTCCCTTCTGAAATGACCCACATATCAGATATGGTAAGGCTACCTTTCAAATGGCCCCGTTGGCTGACATTTCCGCCAATCCCCACACACGCTTCGGCTTCCACTTTTTTTTTTTGTCTTGGCATTCGACGGACTAAATTTTGTGACTGTGATCAGCTGGCTGGAACAGCACGCGGTATAAATTAATCCATAATAATTCACTACGCCGTATCAAATTCATATCACTGTTGTGGCCCGAAAACACCAAAGTTGTTACTTATTTTGTTCTAAAAGAAAACGAAAATCTGAAACCAGTGCTTTAAAGTTCATGCTGCAAGTTACTTGTAGTATTGCGGCCGTTTCATTTCACTACTGCTTTTTTTGTTTACTCACTCATACGTACGCATGCAATTAGTAATCGAAGGCCCCGCCACGATGGTCAAGTGGTCAAGGTACTCGGCTGCTGACCAGCAGGTCGCGGGATCCAATCCTGGCTGCGGCGGCTGCATTTCCGACGGAGGCGGAAATGTTGTAGGCCCGTGTGCTCAGATTTGGGTGCACGTTAAAGAACCCCAGGTGGCCGAAATTTCCTGAGCCCTCCACTACGGCGTCTCTCGTAATCATATGTTGGTTCTGGGACGTTAAACCCCAGATAACAATCAAATCAAAATAATTAATCAAAGCAAGTGTTGGAATAATTAGAATCAGATTTTCCGCTGCACGGTCTCTTTCGCTTCTTTTAAAACGTCCTAGGGTCCCCCGTATAGGCACGCTCGATCTCATCACACATGATCAGTGGCAGTTCTGCGTCGATAAGTAACGTCGGCGCTATCTTTTAAAAAGGAGGAAAACAAAGATCAATGCAAAGTAATCATCTCAAAGACGTGTTCGGTCTCCGCACCACTAGCGCGTAGCTGCCGCATTTTCGAATATTTTTTTTCGTGGAGGAAATCCTTATACCATACATTGTCTATACGGGTGCGTGTGTCTGTGCAGTTATACTTATCTATAGCGGTCAGTCGGTCACTTCAGCGGCCGTTTGTTACGGAAATGTGAACGACGCCCACCATGATGGCAACAAACATGGTAACACCGTTTGCTGGGTCCTTGTGCTCCGATTAAAGCATCAGGGGTGTAGCCAGGGGGTGGCACACCAAGCCCCTGCCCGCTCTTCTACCCTGAAATTTTTTTTCGTCATGACACAAAGAGAACAATAACCATTTCAAGAGGGTGCACCCCCCCCCCCCCCCCCTAAAATTGATTGATTGATTTGTGGGGTTTAACGTCCCAAAACCACCATATGATTATGAGAGACGCCGTAGTGGAGGGCTCCGGAAATTTTGACCACCTGGGGTTCTTTAACGTGCACCCAAATCTGAGCACACGGGCCTCGACATTTCCGCCTCCATCGGAAATGCAGCTGCCGCAGCCGGGATTTGAACCCGCGACCTGCGGGTCAGCAGCCGAGTACCTTAGCCACTAGACCACCGCGGCGGCCCCCCCCCCTAAAATAAAAGAGATTCTCCCCCCCCCCCCCCCCCCAAATATTTATGGCTACGCCCATGTCAAGCGTAAATGGAAGCTTGTGGCTAAGGCCAGGTAGCAGATGAGGACGGCACCAGCGTGCACAGCCGCGCGCCAGACAGCTCTAGACAAGTGCGACAGCACTTGTACGCGCGTGTACACAAATATTTAAAAAATAAAAAGATTTCGAAGATGTGGGTGTGGGGCGTTGAAACCTCCCCTGGCTTCGCCGTTGTTTTTTTTTTTTTTTTCAGGGGGCTTTCCACGAGAAAAATATTGAAGCACGCAGGTATTACGCTTGTTTTTTTAAGTCATAGTTTGCTTGGCACCTTACATTAAAACATAAGTAATGTTAGAAAACGAGGAAGGATTCTTGGAATCGATTTTGTAATGCCGCTTGCCTATCGATGCTTGCTGCTAAAATAATAATCCACGCACGTACACATAAAAATCAACTTCCTCGCACCTGGCTTATATGATCCCGCGTATTACTGATTTATGAATAATATTTAGTGGCCTTGCCAGAAAAGTACTGGATGTCTTACACTGAAGCATCCGTGTGTACTGGTGTCAGGTCATTACCAAAGCAAATGAAAAAGAAAGGTCCATTCCATCCAGTACATACTTGCACTCCCTCTAAAAGTGGTAAATATGGTCCGGATGCCACGGAAGCCAAATAATCGAGGGTAATCTTAAGCATGAACGTATAATTTTTTATAGCGAAAGCTTACTTTTGTGATTCAATGTGCAAGAGGATGCTATTCTGGGTGCGCCTTAGAGGAATACGAGTAGGTAATTCTAAACCCTCACGTACATTTACCGCACACATAATGAACAGAGATTTTTTTTGTGTGTGTGTCCCTTCATTAAAACGCCGCCGTCACCGTATCCGAGGCTTACGACCTCATACGACATCATGCACCGATGCCACTAAACACCACCGCGGCAAGTGGTTTTGTTTCACTGAAAAAAATGTCTGAACCTTAATAAGCACTTAATCCAAATGAACTGATAAAATAGCGCTACAGAATCAAACCACGCCAATTGTTACACACGCCGATCCCACTAACTGTTAATTCTTTCTAGTCGGCATTTGTAATGATAAGATTATCTTCGTAACGAATGCCTGGAAACGGGGATGGTCAAGCAAGCAGATGGCCTGCTAAAAAGAATAATAATAAATATTCAAACGATGTTCCCAAAAAGAACCCAGATGGGATGCGAAGCAGCAGCGTTGAACACGGGTGGCTTTACGAATTGAACGGCGCTAACGCGGATGCTGCGGTGAGCGCTGGAAGATTTGCGAGCGGCAGTAGCGGCAGGAGTTGCGAGCGAACAAATGAGGCGGCAGCTGCGGGCGCCCGGCGTGTGAGGGAGAGGTGATGTCAGCGCGCACTGCGAGGGAAGCGTGACATCAACGTACAGCTGCGGCGTGACCTACGAGGCACAGCTCCAACACCTGCAGCGCGGGGAGCGCGTTGTGGTGCATTCGTACGGACGCACGGAGAGCCAGCCTTACACAGGCTAGTCAAAGAGCTGCTTCACATCTAATAAATATAGCAGTGGCGACACCTAGGGCAATGCAATTTCTGATCAATGCGACTGTAGTCAGAAAGAATGTTACACTCTTCGTGTTTGAAGGACAGTAGTGTAAATATAAGGGGTCATTTCCTTTGTTAGACACAATATCAATGAGAACTAGCAGACAATGATGGCTACGAAAGTACAAGGGGCGTTATTTGTAGTAATCATGATGCAAATGTGAAAAAGAAAAATGGACGAAAAGGTAACTTGCTCGGTGACCCAGTATTATTTATCAGTTCGCGCGAAAATTAAATATCAGTTGAAAGTATAACGATGTATCCTTGTCTGTTTTTTTTCTGCGTCCTCGCCTAAGCCGCGCTAAGTTTGTGGACGCCAATCACTAGCACCCCCTCTCAAGAGCATGTTCTTGTAAACATAGAGTTAACGCGATCCCAGTAGCAAGTTCATTCATGTTCTCTGACATTTGCTTGGCCGAAAACCGGTTTACGGAGGCAGCGTCCGTTGCGTTGAAGCGCATTGCATCCCTCTCATTTGCGAGGGGAGCCGCGAAAGCTCCGTGCATTCCAAATGACGTTGCGAAAAAAGAACCGGAAACAGGGCCGCTCTGCTCACGAGCTGCAGCCAATCAGCGGTGGTAGAAATGGACGGTTCATTAGGTGGTCACATCGAGAATCGTATAGTGTTGGCACACGTGTAGATATAAAGAGCTTGGCCGAGAGAGCGCCGACCACAAAAACACCGCCATCACCGTATACCATCGTCATTGTTGCATTTGGAATTGTTTACAGATCGGCAAACATTAGCGCTTTTTGGCAATATAAATCAAACATGGGAACTTTGACAAGTTAAAAATGTGAAGCCTATAGGCTGGTGTTCCTTTAGATGTTTAGGAAATATTTAAGGCTGTCTAGGCAGTTTTGCGGGTATAAAGAAGTTTGCGGGTATAAATTGGCAGCAGCAAGCACAGGACCGAGTTAACTGGCGGAACATGGGAGAGGCATTTGTCCTGCATTGGACGTAGCCAGGATGATGATGATGATGATGATGATGATGATGATGATGATGATGAGGCAGTTTTGTGTGCACCGGACTCCCGACACGAGAAAGTGCATTTGCCGGCACTTTTGCTAAATGGCGCCACCACATCCAGGTTAGTTCGACATCACCGCCGATCGCAAGTCTTCTGGTTGAGTGGTGAGTCGCTGTGCATCATAGTCTGTGCTTCCTGTTGACCCGTACTTACAACTCTTCCTATTGTACTACCTCTATGTGGAGAAAAGCTCCCCGGAGAGAGTTGGTATTTGAGAACTGTATGCTTGAGTTCCTATATGATGGTTTGCGAGTATACGAAACCGCTGTTCTCTCCGCTATGTGAGCCGAGAAATGAGTTTTCTTTAGAAAGGCGCTAATTTAGTCGAAATCCGAAACGCAGATGTTCGACTACCGACGCACATGAGGAAACGCAGCTATGGGAATGCGCGCACAAACATGTTGTCGGCTTTGACGTCTGTCCGTTGTTAGGAGATCTCCGGTATAGCCCAACTTTATTAGGGAAAAGTTCTCTACACGAAATCCTTACAATTTCTGTGTGTTCTTTCATCAAGAGGTGGTCAGCGCTTGCTTTCTGATGGCGAGTGACACTTACGGTAGCACGCATGTGTGATGCTTCAAATTTTGTCCGGCTTCATTTGAATTTCAGACACCTTCATTCAAGGAGCCTCTGTACGACTAATTAATAGCCGACGAGTCAGCCCACGCAGACTGACCTACTAAGTGCCACATATATCCTTCGTTTTAACACGCTTGCTCATTTCACTGTTGTCGCAGACCTCCTCCCTGCAGATACTGTTGGCCGCCGCCCTGGTCTGGTGCCTGACGACGCCCTGCCGCTCAGGCATCATCCTGACGGGGGTAGCACCGGGCTACGAGCCAGAGGAGCCCACTTTCATGTACACGAACTTCGGCATCGTGTACGGCACACGCGAGCTGCAGAAGCAGTACCAGTTCAACTCGGCCACTGACGAGATCAACCACCACCACATGGGCATCGTCGGCACACAAGGTCGCATCATCGAGAAAGTCACTCCGTACCAGGGAGACGAAGCCAACCGCTCACCCACACACTCCGTCGAGCACAGCCGGAAGAAGTGAGCGTGAGTAGATACGTAAGACATGGTCGGACGATTTGGCACTATACGACGTCCTTAAAATAGAAAATCCCAAAGACAGAGTACCAGTCTCATCTTACTGGTCTTTTGCGCCGTTTCCATTTCAAGAGGCGCTTCTCTTGGGGACATTCATGAGAAAGCATACATGCGAAAAACGCTCCCGCAGTGAAAATGGGCAACCGTATAACTGTGCGGGATAGACGCGCCGTTTCCTTAAATGGACCCTGCAACACTTTTTCAGCATGCCCAGGAAACGTTGCCGATCGGTAGTCGACGCCCCCAAGAACACGAAGCTCCACTTGACACACTTTCAGTTGAGCGCTTACGGCCCGCTCCAGTCAGAACCATCTGTGCTAGCAATTCACACATGAGCACGTAGTAGAAACTCTAGTGCACCTGATGCGATTTACTCACGAACGTGTAGGGCGAAGCTCCGATGGTGGCGCGCACACAGTGCTGGAATTAAAATCTCTTAACATAGAGAGAGTAGCCACACTTTCTTTCATATCCTCTGCAAAGTGTCTAACCCTCCTCTTCCAAGTGTCCGAACCTTATCTGTCATCATCATCAGCCTGACTACGTCCACTGCAGGACAAAGGCCTCTCCCATGTTCCGCCAGTTAACCCGGTCCTGCGCTTGCTGCTGCCAATTTATACCCGCAAACTTCTTAATCTCATCTGCCCACCTAACCTTCTGTCTCCCCCTAACCCGCTTCCCTTCTCTGGGAATCCAGTTAGTTACCCTTAATGACAAGCGGTTATCCTGTCTAGGCGCTACATGCCCGGCCCATGTCCATTTCCTCTTCTTTATTTCAACTATGATATCCTTAACCCCAATTTGTCCCCTAATTTACTCCGCTCTCTTCTTGTCTCTTAAGGTTACACCTACCATTTTTCTTTTCATTGCTCGCTGCGTCGTCCTCAATTTAAGCTGAACCCTCTTTGTAAGCCTCCAGGTTTCTGCCCCGTAGCTAAGTACCGGCAAGATACAGCTGTTATATACCTTCCTCTTGAGGGATAGTGGCAATCTACCTGTCATAATTTGAGACCTTATCTATATCCCCTCCCAAACGGCCACCGTGCAGGCGCCGGTCGTATACCACAGCTCGCACCACTTTTTTTTTCGATGTTTTCCACTGCCTCCGTGATTAGCGCACCATTGACCAAGCTATAATGCCGTGTGATTACGGTGTATAGACTTATGCCATGGGAGCGAAGGAACGAGGCGGCCGAGCCGGAATCGACGCCAGCGGAAACACCAGCCGTGGCTTCACGTGCCAGTACCAAGCGCAGTCTTCATTTTCTTCTCGTGAGATCACGCGTTCTTCGGTTATGTTAGTTGCACAAATGCGGCTCTACGAGGGCATCATATGTAGTTATGTGGCATGACGTCATGCCAGAATTTGTCACGTCACGATGAAGTCCCAAATTTTAGCCATCTGTAGCGTACGCCGTGGCGACGTCATATGATGACAATCATCTCGCGATCATTTTTCTGTCTTCTTTTTTTGCATCACTCGTACCCAAAGCCACAGCATGCCGGTGGTGATATTCAGCATTTGATGAGGCATCTATGAATTTCGCCTTAAAATTTAAAAAAAAAGTGAAAGCTTGCATTCGGCCACACACAAAGACAGTTCTTAGAGTCCTGGCATATCCGAAGAACACTTGGAAATATTAACCGCTCAATTGCAACCTTCCTATTGCAGTGTCTACACTAAGAGACCTCTTTCTGTATACCTCTCCCTATATGTAACTCCCCACCAAATTACGCTCAATAAATTGAAACTAAACTGAAACCGAGCACGGTCTACGGAACCAGTGGGAAAAAACACCGCAGCGACAACCGCGGAAACAAGGACGATCAGGGCAGCACCATCAAAAAAAAAAAATCGCTAGCGTTGGAGCCGGCCGGACAGTCACCTCATCCCTGAAGAAGGGACCGAATCAGTCGCTAAACGTCGGTGCAGTTTACAGTATTTTTTAATTTTAACTTTAGAAACTTTGGACTATAAGTTGATTGATTGATATGTGGGGTTTAACGTCCCAAAACCATCATATGATTATGAGAGACGCCGTAGTGGAGGGCTCCGGAAATTTCGACCACCTGGGGCTTTGGACTATAAGTTGGCTGGAGAGTTCGTTATTCGTACGAAAGCCTAAAACACAGCGACGTTGACCGAGCACGGCCCCGCTCATGCTCGGCTTTCCGGTAGGCTAGGCATAGGCACTGACTATTGGAGCTCGCATACGCGCAGCATTTCACTCACTGTGATAGGCAGAATCCTCTTGTCCTCTTTTCTTCTCCATTCCCCATGGCAGCGTATTCTGGATCTGCTCGTCGCTGCCGCGCTCGAACAGCGACAAACCTCACCTCACGATGTGCTGCTGCTGCTTCTTGGGCAGTACTTTATTTGCGCGTCCCACGGCTGTATCTGATCAAGCCGCAGAAACGCGGTGGAACTCGGTTGCGCGAGGTGTCTCTGTCGCTATAGGCGTGACACAGCGATAACAGCTGCGTGGTTGTCGCAGCGGGACGTTATAAAGGCTGCGGCAACGATGCATGGTTACCACGGCGGACTTTCCGTGAAACGCGCACGTTGATCTTGAAAATGAACAAAAAAAAAAAGATAGACTACTGAGGGGACCGAACTCATGGTGCACGTCTTCTACATGGCGATTAAGCCGGCGCTCTACCACAAGGAACACGCAAATTCTTGAAATCGCTCCAGAAAAGAAAAAAAAAACAAACAAAAAGCTGCACAAATGTAGTGCGCTGCGATGAGTATCCTTAACGCATGAAATGTGTGGCATAACCTGTCTATAGGCGTGTCTTCTCTCTTGTGGGTGTGTGTTCGCGCTGTTACTCCCTTGCTGTTCAGGCATTGGATCGCGCCAGTCGTCAATGCGTGTGAATCGCACGAGTAGAGCACGACCTCCTCTCGTGGAGTAAAGGTGCAAAGGCCCTCTAACTAAAAAGCGCTCAAACGCACTTAATCATCATCTACAACAGGAAAAGTATCAGTAATACGTGCAGCGTAGGCTCGCGTGTTGCCTTACGGGTGAGTGCTTCGAGGATTCGCGATAAGAATTACAACTGCACTTGCAGCATATTCTTGGATTGTTCGAAACGGCCATTGTTGCACGCACTGATATGTCCCGTTCTTTGCGGCGTGGTTGAGGTGTCCATCGAGACACCAAGCGAGGCTACCGATTGAGAAGGCGATGCGAACGGAGCCGTGTTAGCCGTGTCCTACTCTAGAGGCGAAGCGAAATCGTCCTCCAATTCCTTATTTCTTGGAGTGCGCGACTGTCACAGACAGCCCTTTAATGATTGCCAGCATATTTTCATACGCTAGCGATCATACTACTACTGGTAATTATGCAGCAGATGCGAGAATAAAAAAAAATGGAGGGGCGACCCTTAAGCTTCGCCTTTAAGGGTTGAACACGATGGCGAATACTGACCTCTAGTGCCCCCTTCAACCACCAAGTGCATACTTATTGATATGTTTTGTTACATACAAACGCACGCACGCAGTAGATTAGACCAGCGCGCGCTATTGACGCCGAATCGACCCGTTTTCGTCGTGACACCTGTCGAACAAAATGCATTAAAAGGACCCTCAAACACTTTTTCAAGTAACAATGGAATGAATTCACTAGAAGAGCTTATTGCCTCACGAATTCAAGGTCGCAAAAGTGTAAAGATCCGTCCAGTGCGAGTGGAGTTACAAAGGTTTGTCGCATGCTGCAATTGCATTCTTTCTTCTCTCGTCCCGACGAAAGCGCTAGAAGCTAAGCAGGGAGGGGTGGCAGGGCAAAGAAACTATCGCGCCGCGTGACCTTCAGCACTTTTTTTTTTCTTCAAATACGTGGCTTTTTCAGTGTGAATGCGCGCACACGCGTGGACAAGTAGCGGCCTCCCGCGGCTATCTCGATAACTTGATTTTTCGCTCACAACCAACGGGGCCGACGCCGGCGGCGGGTTTTCTGCGACACGAGCTCTTTAACACTATCGCGTTAAAATAAAATGTTATATGTACCGTGAAAGTTTGTACTAGCAGCTCCTTCGCGATCTCAGCACGCTTTCCCGCAAGACAATGTACTGCGGCGACGGTAACTTGTAAGGAGTTAGGTAAGGCTTGGAAGTTTTGAAACCACTGTCCTCTGTTCTCATTTTTCGCGGTGCGCTAGGTATGTTTTTTTTTTTTCGGAGATATATGGCTATGTCCGTGTAATCGGGAGTCTTCCGAGGAAAAAAAGGGAGAATTGATTTGCAGTCGAATGGCTACTTATGGCAGTCGAATTCTGCAGGTGACCTAGCCCTCGGGGCAGCACACCAACCCCCCTCCCCCATCCAAAATATTTTTTCGCCGTAGCATTCAGAGCTAAAAATGAACATTTCAAACAAGTGCACCATTCCCCCCCCCCCCGAGACCCTTATTTTTTGCTAAAATTAGCGCAACTACAAAAACTTGCCGGCTGGTGCAGCGTGGCGAAGTTTTAACCAATGTCAAAGTTTCGGCACAGCTTGATGAATGGAATTGTACCAAGTCAGCGCGGCTGTTGCACCACCTGCACATCTTCACAAAATTCAGACAAGATTATGTAAAACATAGAGCTCACATGCAGAAAAAAAATCCTGCTATTTTCTTTTTGTTTAAATCTTTGGATGCTGCATTTAGGCAATTTTGCCATATGCTTCTCTAGACTGCAGTGCACGTAGTCCGCATATAACTCGATCACATTGCATTTCTCTTTTTTTTCAGCCTTGTGGTTCCTGCTGGTGTCCTCTGGATGTTCTGAAGGCGAGCAGCTGCCATCACTTCCTGCAACCTGAAGAAACCAGAGCCTGGATAAGGTGTTGATGTTCCGAGCACAGGAGGCGCTGAATTTTGGAACTGAGCCCACCTACCGATACGTTCTATGAACTTCGAGCCGTTTTTTAGCCAACAAGATGACACATGTTTTACAGGTGTCAGACTTCCAAATCTTTACAGATGTACAGCCTCCTTGGCTTCCACATCCTCAAGCACAACATACTCAGAATTGGAAAACATATTACACTGAACTTTGATTGAAGTGTCAAGTTTACTATATATAATATAGGTACACTTGTTGCTATAAAAATATAAGTTGCAGCCACTCTGAAACTGTGTGGGTTTGTGGCATTTTCAAGTTTATCTGAACAGCTTTGATATAGCATAAAACGATGACAAATGGTCATGAGAAGGCATATGTGGACATCGCACAGCGCTCCATATGCACATTATCGTGTCTGTGTGTCATATTGCACTACATCAAGGCTCTTCAGATGATTTAATAACAAGCCCATATTGCAACCCTCATCAAATTTATCCTCAAAAAGGGCTATGCATAACAACTATTTAGTTTGCAACTACTAATGATCATTCTTGTGAACCATCGGTGTTCTGATCCGCACGTGTTTTTGTAAGCTACTGTGCGTCAAAGCCCTTGAAGCACGAAAACATAGGTGACAGCATCTTCGGGCAGCCTTAAAACCAACAGAGTGCAGTTGGAAAAAAGGCACTACAGATGTTTCGTTACTCTTGTCTTCAGCATGTTCTTTTTAAAAAGCAACATGGAACTCTCAAAATATGGAAATGATCTAACAAAAAAAAAGTTCACTGCTGCGCCATGTCTTATTCCACTTGTTATCGTTCAGGTTGATCTTTGTGTGCTAGTTTGTTGCCACTGTCGTGGCGTGTTGCCAAATTGAAAAAATAAAAGATTTCAGATTCAACTGTCCATGCCATCCGTGCAACGCAAAGCCCTGCATGCATTGCTGTACTAAATACTAAAAACAGATGTACAGCCGCGTCCACGTCTGTGTAGAACGTACAAGCAGCTGGCCTTGCTTTTGCGGGGCAACACCTTGTGGCGTGGCACTCTGTAAGCCCATTGGTTTAAGGGTAGTACGCTGTAGTCATGCAATGAACCACATGCCACTCGGAGAATGGCTTCAACTGCTTCAGAGAGATAGGCACCACCGTGGTCACTGGGGTGGTTCGTTATTCAGAAACAACTGACAAAACAGGAAGAAGGAAAGGTTGAGTGTTATAGCTGCCAGATGCGCAGTAGTCTCGGTGTATCTTTTGACATGGTCGAGTGCAACACTGACCCAGCGGTTTGCAAGAAATGTCATCACAAAGGGGCCCATACATGCTTAAAGGGCCTAGCTGCTAGGTCAAAGTAAAGGTTGCATACCAGTTGGCAAAAAGCCAGGCAAGGATATCTGGCACTGGGCAAAAGCGCATGAACTTTGCAACGTAGCGGTACATATTCTACCAACAGTACCGCAATTGAAGGCGCTGGTAAGTCGAAAATTTCATAGTATGACCAATGTTGACCAGCGGGGAAAGTCGTGCATATTTGAACACAAGCTGCACCGTATTACTGAAAACCAATGATGGCCGTTAAGCCGCAAGTGCTTTGGTGGAAAATGTCGTCGTGAATGGCGAAATTTCAAGCTTAATGGCATTTTGCTGGCGTGGTAGATATACTGCCGATGAATAACAGAGCAAGCCTATGATCGCAAGTATACAGGGGCCTTTTTGATGTTCAGACATGATGGTACCACACTCAGCAGAAGAAACAATAAGCCAAGATACTGAGCACTGGGCTTGGTGGATTTCGTGGCTGATGGTTGTCATGTCTCCGATATACTCGCTTTAAGAACCGCTCGCTGATTGGGGCCCTGTCTGCGGACTTCTCTAATCGTCTCCTAATCTATTACTTTTTATTTCAATATTTTCGCTTCCCTCTCAATGTTTTTAACCCCTCCTTATGACTTCCCTTGAGTACTGCTGAGCTGTCCTACTTTGCTGCAGACAGTTTCAGGGTTCACTTTTCTTTTCGATTTCCCTCTTTTTAAGTAATCTCTCCCCCCCAACCCCCCCTTCTCATCAGTAGAGAAGAGAAGGCGAAAGGGCATTGGAATGCTGTTGTCCTCTGCAGTACAACATGCCCTGCAGGTGGATGTACAAGACGGCCAGAAGAATCGCTCAATAACAATAGCCAACAAAGGGCGCACTGATGCATGACATCATATGGGCCATCATGCTAATAAGATCAGAACTGTACGACACAAAAAAACAGGCAAAAAAAGCTGGCGACAATGACGATGATTATGATGGTTCCTCAATCGTTACGAGTAACTGCACAGTGTCCTAACGAAAAACGAGTTTAACTAGTATCAACAACCTATTTAAAAACAAACCACAGAACTTGAGGTAACATTGCAGTGGGCACGTGTTACCACTTTAATGGGCTGGTGCAAAAACATTTGCTTGTTATGCTGACTCATAATTGCAGACTATGTAATTAAATCCACATCCATGTAGAGTTTCGTTCATTGGCTTTGTGAGGGTTGTGTCCTGTTTGTTACCACACATGGTTGCATGTGTAAAGCTGTAGCAGTCGCTGTGTGTGCTTGGTGCGACGTGAGCTGTGTATAGGGATGGTACAGTCTCATTTGTCTGTCCGCAAAAATGCCGTCTGTCTGTCCGCAAAAATGCCGTCTCAACCGATAAAGCGGAAGTTCATCAAACTGGAAGATACGGCTGCAATGATTACTAACGTGTAAAAGCCCGATGACGACAAGGCAATGGACTACTTTTTACAATGCAAGTCAAGAACTATGAAATCGCTGCAGGAAAGGGTTCGGCAAAATAAGGTTATTGAATTTTGGCAATAAAACGTGCTTTTAGTCACTTCCCTGTTTCTCCAGCCGCATTTTCACGCCAGTGAAAATCCCGCAAGAGCGATTCTTTCCTTTCCCTGCCGATCTCTTTATTGCAGATTTCAAGTATAGAGAGAGAGGGAGAGAGACAGAAAGTGAATAAAAAAGAAGTAAGAAGAGAAATAGAGAGAAATAAGTGGAGACAGGAAGAGAATAAAAAAAAGAGACAAGCTACAAGAAGAAAGGAAGAGATGAAGAAAGAGAAAACCAAAGAGAAAGAAAAAGATAATTGAAAGGAAACGAAAAAGGGCCTCCACCTCCACACTTCCTCCGGGCTTGGCACGAATAGTGCGAAGCTGCCTTTCTTTCTGTTCTTTTTGAAGTGCCTGTCAGAGCTGTTTTACGGTGCACAGTAAACGAAAAACAGTGCAAACCACCGGACAGCAGTAGCGCATCATCAGCGCATCCCAATGTCCAAACGGCTAAAACAAGCACTCTGGTGCAGTTCCCATTTACGGTGATGCATGCTCTCTTGCCGCCTTACAAGCGAAAACGAGCAAGGTCAAAGACAATCCTAAAGTTTATTTTGGAATAAAAAATAAAGACCTATAGTTGCAATTCCTTCTAAAATGAGACCATCAAGATGCCCAGCAAATATTTTACGCTATAACGTTTTTTTTTTGCCAATAAACTTTCATAAATCTCAATACTATTTAAGCTCCAGTTGCTTTCACATATGTGCCCAAAATAGAGGCAATACTTTGCCACAACTAAAATGACGGAACTGATTAACAGAAGCTTATTAAATACCTTGTTAATTATTGGCTTGATGGTAGATGGATATAGTATTATAATGTTGCAGAGCGTGCCTATTCACGACATACCATTTTGTAGAAGTTGAGAAAACCAGCACGCAATTCGAGATACTATAATAGTCGAATTTCAAGGGCCAAATTGAAATTGACTGTACCCAGCATGCATTTAGTGCAGCTCCTCTGTTATATTGGATCAGACCAGAACCGCCTGTGAGAAGAATGTAACTAAGTGTGACTAAAGGCGCGTCGCAGCAGTATCTATTCGTGAAAAGGCGGTTAGTCTCACTGCACCAGCAGATCACTTCACCTTTGAACGTAACGCACCAGGTGCTTACCCGTTTCTTGTAATCTGTGCACAAGGAATCTGCAATAACCTTTCTTTATTTCTCTGTGAGGTATACCGTATTTACTAGACTCTACTGTGCCCTCGATTGTAATGCGCGTCCAGTTTCGACGACAAAAAAAATAAAAAAAGAAGCTAAGACATCGATTGCAACGCGCACCCATTTTTCTCGTTGGCCCGCACGATCACACCACTCGGGAAAACGACTCTTTTCGAGAGCATCTTCCGTTTAAATATGAGGTACGGGGGAAGCTTGTGCCTATATGACGTGCAACGGAGCATTGCTGTCACTCTAGTTTTACCGTGGCCCGATGTCAGCACACGAACTTGCTTCGCCCCCTTCTCGTCGACGGTTGTGGTGCCAGGCACGTCGAATTAAAGAGGCGTCTGATCGGCATTCCCGATTTGCCCAAGCAGGTAGCCGCTGTTGTGCCGCAAGTTTAGGACGAACCTCTGAAGACTCTGAAGCTTTTCTTTATACTCCTCCGGCAACTTCCGGCGTATGCCCGTTCGCCTTCGGAGGGAAAAGCCTTTCCTCTTCATAAAGTTATTTAGCCAGCACCTGCTCGCTTTAAACTGGCTCCGCATTAGCCCTTTTTTTAAGGCTAACTGCATAACCTGCACTTGGAGCAGTTCTGTCGTCATGGGCCGCTGTGCCGCTCGCTGCTTAATCACATACTCGCCGAGCAACTCTTCAATTTGTGGAAACCGACCCTGCTGTGGTCCACTGAAGCCTTTGCGTGAATCTTTGCTGTCGACAATATTCCGTTTTTGTTTCCACCAGTCCCGCACGCACGTTTCGGGAAATCTGAACGATCGCGATGCAGCCCGATTTTCGTCCGTTTCGGCACACGCGATGACTTTTCTTTTAAAAGCGGCATTGTGCGCTCGTCGAGTTTTTGGAGTCGGCCCTACCATGCCGTCGATGCTAATGCACTACAAGATGACAAACTCCTCAGCACACGTACGAAGTGCCGCACATGGGAAACACATAGGCAGAAATGGCCGACGCTGCATGCCGACGCATGTAGGCGGCAGCCATTCTGGAAGTGCCGATTGCAATAGAATGACCGTATTCAATTTTTTTTTTTCGTACTCGATTCTAACGCGCATGCGGTTTATGAACTCGCTTAACCGGAAAAAAGGTGCACGTTAGGTTCGAGTAATTACGGTAAAACTCGGCGGCAGCCTTTTTAGTGGTTCTTTTTGCAGACAGGCCTCATAGTTTCTCGCTTATGTTCATAATGTAAAAACGTGCTAAGTTGACAACGGAGACGCCGCCCCGGAGACACCGCCGGAGCCGTGAAGTGGTCGGCGTTGCCAGGTAGAAGAAAGAGTTTATTCTGCGCTTGCAACTTATTTCATGGAAGGGAGGAAAAGGGGCAGAGAGGGAACGAGGAAAGTGAGAGATGCATGCATGTTCTGTCTTGCGTCCACTTGGGAAAATGCTGGTGTTGCAACAGAAAGAAACAGACAAGAAACACACAAACATACCCCAGAATAAGCAGTCTACTTTTGTTTTTTCAGAATGCTTGCCGATTTTTCTGACCATATTCTGATTCAGCATGCCCGGATTCAAATTGCATCTCTTTTTTTGCCATGTATATTTCCATTTTTACGCAAGTGAGGCGGCATTTCCTGAACACCAGGTGTGAACACTTTAGATCTTACCCTTAAAATTTGATGATGGATATCTCAAACAGTCTGTGCATCTCGCAGTTAAAAAAATGTGTATGCTGTGAATTGGCATGCACAGTGCCTTTTCGATATAAAATATTCTAAAATCAATCGGTAAAAAGTTAATTACAGAGTGTTTGCTATTTAGTCACATAACTGTCACTTTAGTTGCAGCCTCTACATGCAGTATGTGTGCAAAATGACTGGAATCTCACTAATATCCAATTTTCATGAGAATCTGTATTGTCTAAAAAAAAAAAAAACTACCCTGTATAGAGGCAATGTCATGGAATAGATACTGATTGTATGTAGTTTACTAAAACAGCCTACTAATGAACACAATGCAGGCAGACACACATGCTATTCATGAAAAGCCTACTGAAGAACGCAAGCCAACACTGCTTGCAGATTTAACCCTGATATTAACATGTTCGGTCACTCATAAATTGCCATGACAGAAACTTTACAGCCACATCAGGCACGATTTGCTTAGAAAGTTAAATAAAGTAGTGGCAAACAAGCTAATGAAAGCCCTATGGAGGACAAAATGCACCATTTGCAAGATGCCATCTGCACACACTTATGCAATACTTCTTTTTCACACATACCACAAAACTCTGAGCACGCGGCTCCCCCTCACCCCAAAAAATAAAAATAATAACAACATTATGTGAAGTTTTACATCCCATCACCACGATACAATTATGAGGAATGCTACAGTGAAGGGCTCCGCAAATTTCGACAATCTGGTATTCGTGAATGAAAATCACACCGTACACGCCCAGTACATAGGCCTCATAGCATTTTGCCTCTATTGAAATACGACTGCCGTGGCTGGCATTTTTGTACCCAAAATTTCCAAGTGAGCAGCCGAGCACCGCAGCTACTGTTCAACAAGAGTGGAAACCCCCCCCCTTTCCAACAAATCGAAAGTACTGGCTAAGTGGAAGGGGGACCTTTCCAGAACCCAACACAGCCAAACAGTGGGAAACATGCCATAGAAGCTGCTCATGCAAACCAAATAGCTCCGGGCATCAAACGCATGCGTCGAAGATTTGCTGACTATGTACATAATGGATATGCTAGAATTGCAAATACAGTTTTAAAAGGCCATGCATTTGCTCGCAGAAAACTGAAAGTCACTATGAATGTTGTGCACTAACATTTAGGATGCGATCACTATGTGGGAAAAATTTACAGTGCAGCTGCTTGAAGATTGGGTGCCGAAACAAGATTGAATAGGATTTAAGTGGGACACTGAGTGCCTGAACGCAACGCTTAATCAGGGTGCGCAGAGGAAGCGGGGAGGGGTTGAGGCACTTTTCTGGAACTGTGCAGAAACTTGAAATAACCAGTGAAATCGGGCAGGGTGCCTGCTCGTAATTTGGCGGAAATTCAACACGAAGAAGCACCATTTGCGTTTTCATTGAATATGCCGGTCAGAGCCATCAAATGACTAACCAGTATCACATGAAAGGACCCAAAATACACATCAAGAACATATACAAAATTTATTCGCTACGAATGTACACACTAAAATTACTGGAGTGGGAATGAACATTCACCATTACCACTAGAGGCATTAACATTAGTCAACATAAATAATACCAACTGGTAATTAATTGTGCGTCGCAACAAAGATTTCTCTGAGAATACGAATATTGCACTAGCTGCCGCTCGCCTCCTTGAAATAGGTCACATGACTGCACACTGTTCGGGCATCCCTGGAACACGTCCATCCAGGCCAATGTCAGGTCCCTGTAAGTGAACAATGTGCCTCGCTCATGGGAACAACAGCAAAATATTTTTCTTAAGTGCCGAGATACTCTTAGCTCTCATTGTCTGTGATCTTGAGCCAAATGCTAAATTGAGACACCCCTACATCTAGCGAAATGCTTTATTCGGCACATACTCTTGCAATAACTGAGCAAAGACTGAGCCTTTCAAAGGGGTGCCCCCCCCCCCCCCCAAAAAAAAAAAAAAAAAATTCGGCTACGCGCCTGCTAGTGCCCAACCAAAGTAAAGGACATGCTGCTTACAGTTATTCCTAATGTTCCTCTACAATATCAGTGAAGCTGTGACATCGTCTACATCTCACCTTTCATTTCTGAATTTCATTAGTGACATTCCTAAGCTACACTGCACACTTGAGACATGTGTTTGCACTGAACCGATTTATCTCTTCTCAAAGGCCGGCATGGGCAGGTCATGCTACCTCAAAGAGATGGCACCATGCTGTGTCCCTATGCCGCCCATATTGGCGGCTCCAACTGAGCGCTCACCACCTAGCGGCCATGCCTGGAAACGGCACTAACAGGGTCAACCTTCAAAAAAGAGACATGTTACCATGTTGCGAGTGTTGAGAAGCGGCCGCATACTTCCCTTACTTTCGCCATGCCGCACATACAAGCCCAAGAAAGAATAGAGCGATGTGCAAAGACTGTTGCCATGTGCTAAATTGTGTGGCATCACGGTGGAAAGATGTCAACGTATCGTTCTACCACTTCCCGAAAGATGTAGACAACGTGCGATAAAGAACAGCGCAAATCAAAGACTTAGTGTCGTAGTGCTACTCATTCTCAAATTAAGCTACTGCACTTCTTCCCCCAAACGTGCTTGATTTCGACCGAGTGAGGACCCACACATGCACACAAATGCACGTGCATGTGTAAAGTGCACCTATGTGTGGTCGTGTGTACACACAGTAGATTCTCAGTAAATGAAAATCTGTTACACGGAACTGCTGCTTGAATGGAACAACTTCCTCTGATATGATTGGCTTTGAACATGAATGCTGCAACCCCCTTCACCTCTCAGTAAACAGCCCTGTTAAATGAAACACATTTTCACGGTCCCTTCAGGGTCCGTTTCATGATAGTCTACTGTATATCATGTTTGTGCAATCGTAGCGTGCCTAGCGTGCGTTCATATATCTGTTTTGAATATCAACTACTGCCACCACGAACAAGCAAGTGTTCGGAAGCACACGACCTTATTCATTAGAAACCTAATAACGTTGATAAATGAATGCAAAGAAAGGAGCACTCCTATTACAATCGAAACTACAATTTGCCTTATCTCATGATACACTAGCCCAGGCATAGCTCCGTTTTGTAGTCAAGTGAACGGCATGCATATTCAGCTTTTGATAGGACAACGGAACTCAATGGGATACATGCAATCTGCAGCACAAGTCACAGTGTCATCATCATCATCAGCCTGACTACGTCCACTGCAGGACAAAGGCCTCTCCCATGTTCCACCAGTTAACCCGGTCCTGTGCTTGCTGCTGCCAATTTGTACCCGCAAACTTCTTAATCTCATCTGCCCACCTAATCTTGTCTCCCCCTAACCCGCTTGCCTTCTCTGGGAATCCAGTTATTTACCCTTAATGACCAGCGGTTATCCTGTCTACGTGTTACATGCCCGGCCCATGTCCATTTCTTCTTCTTGATTTCAATTATGATAACCCTAGCCACCGTATGTTCCCTAATCCACTCTGCTCTCTTCTTGTCTCTTAAGGTCGCACCTACCATTTTTCTTTGCAATGCTCGCTGCGTCGTCCTCAATTTAAGCTGAACCCTCTTTGTAAGTCTCCAGGTTAAGGACTTGCCTGTAGCAGTGGAGCAATGCAGCGCACAAGCGCGAGGACCTTTCGGAGAGACCCACTACACATGAGCAGTTGCTTTTTTCAACCTCGGGCTCGCTAGACGGGTTCTTCAACTTGAAGTACAGTAGTGAAATCTCAATGATACAATTACAGTTGATGCGAATTTCATGATGATATGAATTTAAGTGTTGTTTTGGATGGACTGTATTATATAAAATACACCGTGATTCCTTGTTATACAAATCGTTTCCCTAGCCACTGCGGATGATACGAATGTCCGATTGACCGCTGCATGCCAGCGGTGCAACGCGGCAATAACGCCGCGAAGCCGACAAAAAAAATCGATCCGTAACCAATTTTCCCACCACGTGAAAGCATAGTATCGCCTTTTTGCTTAACGGCTTTGGCTTCACCTGCTGCTCTATCTCTCAAACCACGTGATGTCAACACAACCAGCTGCAAGTCAACATAACAGCGAAGGCATCGGCGGCGGGTAACGTCGGCGCTATCGTGAACTACCCACGTGGCACGTCAAATTTCATGGCCTTGACAAGGACGCGGTCGTCGATAGCCTGGTTTGGATTACGATCACTACTAATAACACCAGAAGTAGAAGGTGTAGCAGCAGCAAGTCGGCTCGCCCGAACCTGTCTTGTTGTTGCACTGCCGGCTGAATCCGTCACTACCGCTGTGTCTGCTTGTGTCATTTCGGCTGGTGTGTTTTCCGAAATAACGTTCGTAAAGGTGTAAACTGTTTCTTTTCAGTGCCTTGTATGCATAATTATAACCCGGTACGAACTTCAGTGATCAGGAAATGGGCAAAATGAAATAAATTCTCAAGCGGCGATGGGGGCGACAGAGGTGGCATGTATACGAGGGGCAGAACGAATGTGAACGTTTTAGGCGGGCACCCCCGTGGTTTTCCGGCCGCGCTGGCATTTTCTCTTGAATTCTCCAATGCGAATTCTCCAAGACACATTATATTTTTTTTCGTGTCGACTTCGCGGCACGGTTTTCCGGCTGCTTACGCGGGGAAGCGAGTGAATTTCCAACGAGTTTGGCCGCTTTCGCTCGCTCTGATGTCAACAGCGAGCGCGCTGCGCCAGCAGCATGAGCGAGGAAACTGCAGCACTTAATTAAGAGATGGTGGAGGCAGGAAAGTTCAAAAGAACATCACAGACTTTTTTTCAGCAAGGTGTAGTGGCCAATGAAGTTCTTGTTTATGTTTTTTATCAGCTTTAAGTTGTTTTTGGTTCATACAAATTGGGGCTGATACGAATATTTTACGCACTCGCTCCGAATTGGTATCATCGAGATTCTACTGTATCTGATGTGGTTTGCCGAAAAAACTCGATGTTTGCATGCAGAGGGCAATTATTTCCGCTGTTTCGGCAGTAAAATTCTATGTGCCAATGAGAATGAAGTGGTCCATGACCAGCACCTTTTCGCCTTAAACGAAGCAACGCAATCTGACACTGCAATAAAGAAACTTCGGCACACCACCAAGGGAAAGTGCTGCTTTGAGCCTATTAAGTGTAGCCATTTTTGTTTCTTCGACCAGTGTTGCCAGCACACAGAGCATTTTGTGTAGTTGTGAATAGCATTAGGGTGAGAAGAGAGTTTCATGAGCTTTTTAAGCGAAGCTACCAAGGGGCTGCTGTGATTGGAAGCAACTTGCTGTGCAGCAAAATTTTTATTTTGCAGCACTTTTAAGCAGTGAAACTTTTAACTTTGGAGCGACTCGAAGCTGGCAATATTGCATCTGTGAGCACTTTGGAGCAGCTAATATCACAGTGAAGAAGCAAGTTGCATTTCCATTCAGACACATGAATTACTATACATTAAACTTCAGTGCGACCTATATAAATATCTCGAGTCATATCAAATCTCGCCAAAAAAATTCTCTGCAGGACACTCATTACTTCTCTCCACTGCTCAAGAAAAAGGGTTTCATGCAATTGGATGTTCTGGAATAATCTTCATGGCAACTTCTTCTCGATGCAAGTCAATAAACTGAATACTGAATAAATCAAATTTACAGCATAAAACAACACTCTAAATACAACTATGTGGTCTTCAATGCACAGCCCTAAATCTAAACCTTGGGTGTTAATGCTGCCCTTTAAATCAGCGAAAGTGACACACAACACCGAGATGTTCAACAGTGGCCTAATTCATGGGTGTCCGCAGGATTTCCGTTGGGTGTGGGAAAACGAATCATGGTGTATCGTGGCTGGTGGGGGACGGGGCCAGTGCTCCCTTCACAACCTCTAGCTAATACCTAATGCTAAAAAAATTGTGCAGTGCCTTATGCATTCTCTGATGGTGAAAGCTGGCTTTTTTTTTGTCAGTCTATTCTTATGACTTTTTCTACTTGTATTTAGAAATTGCCTGAGCTACCAACAACGTTTCTAGAACAGACTCTGCCAACCAATAGAAAGCATGCAGGCGTGCCGCTTCATCTGCAGAATAATCCTTGGTCTCTGGTTGTGACTTTCGTAGCCCCATGCTCAAGCTGCACAAGTGTTGACGCGCAGGCAGTGCAATTGCTGGTCATAGACCCTGTCAAAGCACACACTGCGGTGCAGTAAATTCAATTTGACACACTTTGACGTAGTTGGCACAGGAGTGGAATCAACGTGAATAGGAAACACTTACAATTTCGACCAGGTCTTTAGGTGGATGCCCGCACTCTTGCATCTGAAAAGAAGATGAAGGGAAAAAAAGTTGCACATTTCAAAATGTGTGCACTAAATTACTGCTTTCACTCTGACCAGTGCCTTTGTGCAACTGTCTTCCCAGGTTCTCAAGAAAAAAATCTTTAAGGTTTCAGACTCGATCAACAGTAAATTGATCGACATACGTGGCTTGAGGCTGCTTGACTACGAATCTTTTCTTTCAAAAGCTCAGCTTTTGGCGATTCATACTGGAGCACTGTAGCCTCCCTACAAGTACAGGTGACATTTTTAAAAATGGAGCTTGGCGCTGTAGTGAAATTTCACACATAGGCAGTCATTGCATCACAACACACAACTGAAGGAGTTTGAAGATACTTCCACCAGCAGGTATGAAAAGATCCTAGTTTTTATTTATTGTAAAGCAGTCAAGTCTCCAGTAATCAACAAATGAAGAGATCAAGGAGTCTGAATTTCGGTAAGCAACGAGCAGCTATACAAAGGCAACATACGTTGAAGTGAAAGAAAGTGTGTTAATTAAAGTTTATTCTTTCGGGAAACGCTTCTCTAAGGCACTCGTTGCTTGTGAGACGCTTCCTCAGGTGTTTTTCTATAGCGTTCTTTTAAGGTCCTCCTCTAGGGCGCACTTCTTCCAAGGCATTTTTCTAAAACACTTTTCTAAGGTGCTCGTTGCTGGCAAGCAAGCAAAAAAAAAAAGCAAAGCCTCAGAAAAGCAATCCCCGAAGTACCAAAAGTCGTGTACTGCCACAATAGCAATCTTAGGAACATGTTGGCTCAAGCAAAAGGAAACCAGCATTCTAATGCCTGCATAACACCTTGCTCTCATCCAAAATGTAAAACTTACAAACACCTTCAAGATGATGTTATAGTTGAAAGCACTGTAAGTAAACACGTCTAATACATGAAATCAAATTTTACCTGCACTAGGTCAAACATTACCTACATGATCAAATGTTCATATTGTCACAAACAGTACATTGACAAAAAGGAACAGCCTGTTAACGTTTGATTGAATCAGCAAAACATGCACACAGCAAAGAAATTACCGAAAGCAGTGGTGCAGCATTTTAATGCACCAGGTCACAAGTTTGAATATCTCAAGCTTTACATACTCCACTCATACTTCTGGTCCCCAAAAGACAGAAAACATAGTCGTACCTTATTCACAAGTTCAATAAGCTCTAGCCAGCAGATATACAAATTTCTAAGGAGGCTCCTGCATCCATCTGGTGTGGTACATACACAGCAAAAACCAATAAATGGGTAAGTCCTCCTCTTGGGCGTTTCTAATCCTAATTACTGTTTGGTGCTCACACAGAGAACTGTTATTCAGTTGAACATCTACCGCTTCTCCCCCGATTTTTTTTTCCTTCTTCTTATTCACGGGATACTTCTTCGCAGCAGCCTCCCCCCCCCCCCCCCCCCCCCAGCGTCCACAGTTGCCCTTTCCTCCTCGTTTGTACGAATTGGGGGATGGGGTACGAAGCATATACACATTCGCACTAGGAAAATCAGCCTCAGCCTTGGAGAGGACAAGTCCACCTGTCGCAACGTCAGCTCAAGCACACAACTCCTGTTTGTAAATTTTTCATCACAGGCTTTCATCTTCCCCTTCCTGCCATTTTTTAATATACTATAAGAAAAGCTATTTTGCACCCTGCGAAAAGCTACCATGTGTCTATTTTGTGTGCCCAAAACCATTGTTTGCGAGTGGCACAAACAAGAAAAGGAGGTTTTAGGCAGCACACAAACCAGGAAATGTTGCAACGGATTCCGAGTGAGAAAATGTCTTGACTAGAATTACAAGCTTCCAGGCATTCTCAAGCAACTTCAGGTAAACCAAACTTTTCAAGGCAATAGCCCTTGACTAGGCATGTGATCGATCATTCTTCAATTGCTGAAAGCCAACAAAACTGGATTACTAAAGGAAAGAAACTGCCTGCGTAATATCACTTTCTATGAGGACACATCGTGCTTGCCGCCTTTTTTTTCCTATCGTAGACATAGTAGCAGGCCATGGTTTTAAAAGATCTTGCAACATTTTTCACAGATGTAATTGGACTGAAGCTAATCAATAAAGGAGCCCAGAACACCTTCCAAGGTAACCATTGAATGGCTTCACTAAAAAAGTTTATTGACTCATGAATTGATCACCACAAAAGTTTTTAGAAACCATGAAGTATGGACGGTGTTAAAGAGAGGGTCACATGCTCTAGTTGCCTTCTTTCTCCTGTTGTCGCGATTAGCGTGCAGTAAGGTGGGGGATTGTGGCAGGGGAAAGTTTTATACCAACATGTCGACAGCAGCTGAAAGCTCATTATCTTCAACAGCTTCCACCATGGTTGAGTTTAGCGACATTGCGTGCAGATCGCATCAAGTTAAAACGAAGCTACTGAGTGCCGCATGCATGTGTGAGCTACACTATGGTCGCGAACTGATGAACATAGTGACGTGGAAAGCACCACCAAAATCCAGTTGTTTGTGAATGTCGTTTTTGCTGGTACATATGCATTGCTATATTGCGGTGTTTCGAAATTGGCGCGCTGTATTAACTGGGTTGCAGGCAAGTATGACTGTATTAATGAGAGGTTGGTACCATAAACAATGCATCTACAGGCCGCAACGAGAGAACACGTCCTAATCACATGATTTTTCTGAAGTAAGGAGATTCAAGTTAACAAGACTTTACTGAACACAAAAGCGCCACTGAACGTATTGCTCACCTCTCCATACTGAAAGACATTCTTGAACACAACACTTTAAAAAATGTGACGCTTTGCAGGTGCATAGTTAGAACTTATGACGTAGGTATGCAGCACAGACAGGCGGTGCATGTAATCTAACATGGTAAGGAGGTAGTTACACTGTAGCGATCTCCACAAGCGGAAAAGGACAAAACTTGTCTCCTCTCTAGCTGGCAAGCACCATCAGCGACACTAGACATGACATCAACAGCTCACTCACTTCAAAACTAACATGCCAAGGATCACCTCTCACCAAGAGAAGATACCACTTATCGAAATTATGGCCAGTTCGTCTGAGGCCTGTTCATTCGACCTGTGCGCCCAACTCTCACCGGTATGACCTACCTTCTGCATGAGGCTGAGCACGCGCTCAAAGCGTGCCTGCTTGACCTCGGCCCCATCCGAGGCACCCTCGGCCTCAAATTCCTCGCACACTTGCCGCATGAGACCGAACTGGCGATTGTACCTCTCGTACTCCTCGTCTGCTAGGGAAGACCGCTTGTCAGCCAGCCAATCGGGGTACTGCGCAGGAAACAACTTTTCTCAACATCTCTCAACTTACCCAGGAAACTGTGCAGGCCAAGTGCTGTCACGACATTCACAGTGACAGAGAGTGATATTGCACATTTATTGTAGATATTGCACTTGTATCCTCATGCAGAAGTTATGTTTAAAGCATCATTTATTGTCGTCAGCATGCATATTGCCCATGTAACTTTAAGACCTCAACCACTTCTGGCAGTGCTCATGAGTGAAAGCTGTTCTGCTTTGTCATTTCTTGTTTCTATTTCACAGGTACATAGTTGTACTTTCAGACGTCACTTACCTAATAACGCAAGCAAAAAAAGTGTTCATCATGCAGAATTTCGACAATCACACAATAACTGCTTGAAGTGGTGGTCCTGTCCAAGCCCCACAAAGAGTATTATTTATGGGCTCAATACACCACCTTGTCAACAATGTCCCTCAGCGCTGGATAGAGAAGATCCTTGGAGAGCAGGTTTTGCATCATGCCTTGCATCATCGAGATCAGACCGTCCCCTCCGCCACCACCACCTCCTTCAAGTCCCAGCGAGCCAACCAAGCGCGAAAGCTCGTCTTCACTTGGAGGGTCCTGGAAAAATTAACCCATTCCCCATAGAAATCACAGTGTCCCAGCAAGGAAAAGGCATTGAATGTGACAGCAACAAACTGTAATCTTACACGAATTCAGGCTGACACCCAACTCTCTTGGATTCGATCTCTTGCTATGCCACAATTTATACTAAGATAATGAAGCCAAGAAAGGTATAAGGAATGGTGATTGTACTGTATTAGCTCTATTGCTATAATTATAATGTGTGAAGAACATCCAGTCTACAAAAAAAGAACTAGCAGCCGGCAGGGACCTAACCGACAACTTTTGGATAACGTTCCAGCTGGCAAAAATGGAAGTGTTCCACTCTCACCATCACGGCTGCAGGCTACACTAAAGCTCCTAACTTTGCATTCCCATAAATGCACTACATAGTGAACAAGAAGGCAAATGTTGCCGTAATTAACTTGGAAAGTCATCAGTTGCTTAATCCTAAGGTTGCAGGTCTGGTCCCTGCCGGTGGAACGTACTCTCTTTGTCCAATTAACCTTCTCTACATTTAATGTGATATTACTACAATACAGTTGAAATGCCACAGTTAATGTCCCCAGTACTTTTTTTTTTTTCATCTTACAATTCATCTTCTCAGAGTTCTAAAAGAAGTGCCCAATTTCTCAGTGCCTTTACAGTGTGGTGCCTCGAGGCTGCTTTCTTAGTTGCCAAAAATGGAAGGAATGTTTGAAGGACGTATGTCCTCACATAATATTTCACACGGGGTCAGTGGTTTCTTCTATTTGGCAAATAGCAGTATATTAGCCCAAAGTAAAGGCAATGCTTACCCCAAAGGCAAGGGCTGTGTCTGAGATGTTCCGCAAGGTTTCATTCAGCGTGGCAGCAAACTCCTCATCTGAAGCAGCAGATGCTGTAATTCAAAGATACAAAAAAGTTGCACTTTCCCCAAGACGCTCCGTATCAACATAGAAATTGATAAGCAAGCTGTAAATTTCCAAACAAGAAGTGGTAATAAGCACTGGAAGATCTTATGGCACTTCATCACAGTTGGGTGATAGTACTTTATACTCCAGGCATTTTGAAGTAATACACAGATTGGTCATATCGATTGATTGATATGTGAGATTTAACGTCCCAAAAACACCATATGATTATGAAAGACGCCGTAGTGGAGGGCTCCGGAAATTTTGACCACCCTTAACGTGCACCCAAATCTGAGCACACGGGCCTACAACATTTCCGCCTCCATCGGAAATGCAGTCGCCGCAGCCGGGATTTGAACCGGCGACCTGCAGGTAAATTGGTCATATCGGTGCTAACATTATTCACATAACACACTATGAGTATTCACAATTTAATTTCAAGACTAAGCGACACAAAGTTACTAACAGCGCATCAATACTGTTGCGCACATGACCGACAACCAAGACCACAGTGAATGAAAATCGCTTGTTAATCCGAGCTAGAAAAAAAAGAGGAGGATCAGAAGGATCTCTAACTAGTCAGCCGCTCCTGAGCTCACCCTCACAACCTAATGAAGGGCCTCTTTCAGCCTTTAATGACCTCCTTCAAGTGTAAGAATATTTTGTCCTTCTGTGCAAAGCTGAATATCGAAATGTGCTTCAAAAGCATTCCCACTAAAGTTTGGCACTTGCTTCTGCTAAGGGATTTATCTATCACTGCCATAAGTGCCATGTATGAACAGTGACAATACCATAACTGTTAGAAGTCCTTTATACCGCCACAGCTTTAGAAATAAAGCAAAAATGCGAATAATTACTTATTCTCCTTCTATGCTGCGATGCGCAGCCAGTTCTTATGTCTGCCCTTTCTGCTGGTGGCAACTTCCTGTATGCATTGATGGAATTTCTATTCTTAATTTGAGTTCTAGTTGTGCTTCTGATGTAGCTACACAAGCTGAGATGCAAAAAACACCTTCCGTCATAATTTTGACATTTTCGCCCCTTCCATTTACGATTTGTGACCCTTGTTCTTGTGTAATGTCTTTTTTTTTGTTGTTCTTGCTATGTTCTTGTAGGAATGTTTCTTTGGGCAGCCATTTAGTTATCCCTTTGTGTTTTTCATGAGCCAAAGTGAATCACTGCTAGGGCCTAGAGTTGTTTATGAGCACACTAAGAAAGTAATAAGTGGCAACTACCCCTCTGCGACAGATAAGGTGGGCCTTTATACGGCTGATGTAAAAATGAGCTTCCGAGTGAACCACTCTGAGGCCAAAAGGTGTCATCGTTAGCAAACAATAGAGTTTATTCTTGCTCGAATGACGCCAATGGCAAAGTGGCTATGGTGAGTTAAAATCTGTGAAAGGAACCAAAGAAATTCTAAACTATAGCAAAAGACGTCAACAGCAACCCACAGGCACTAGCAGAAGATGTTACTGAGGTAGTTCACCGAAGCACAATTACATGAGGAAGCTAAATGTGAACTGTCTCTTTGTGGAAAACTTCTATTAGTGCGATGAGGGTTGGGACGAAATAGTATTTCATCTCCCCTTACCCCTCTCCAGAAGGAAATTGCCAGACTAGTTTTAAACAAGGTTTATTAATTCAGTCAGTGCTTCTTTGATTTGTTTATGCCTATAACGAACACTAGGCTCTCAATCCCTAGCTGCCACATCTGTTCACTCTGCAGAAACAACCTCCGATTGGGGTTGAAAAATGTTCTTTGTTATTGTGCCACAAATTTCATTCCTATTTTTAGCACCAAAACAACCACCCACCGAGACTAGACCTTTGAAGTTCAACATGGTCTCATGACTTCAGTACGGTGAAGGGTGGGTCCCTTTCACACGGATATAGTTATCCCAGTGATTGCACAATGGACATCTTAAAACAGCTGTAATTTGCTGTTCAAGCATAAAAGCAGAATTTTTCAATGTACAATACATACTTTTTTACTATATTTTCACATGTCTATTTTTTGAAATGGTGCGCTTTTTTGTAAGTGCAAAAGTCGTGCGATTCTGCAAGACCAGCATGCCCACATTTCATTCGTGAGTACGATTAACTAAGCGTGAAAGCATTTGCAAAGAGATAGTTAAGCTTCTTATTACAAGGAAACGGGAGAGGTCTTAGATGTCAGTTACTTGCGGCTTGGGCAATGCAGCAAGCACAGATTACGGCCGTAATAAAACCTATCACCATACAATACGCTATTGTACTGCTTGAATAGGTTGTTTTTAAAGGAAGCATTATGATGCAATAAATAGAAAAGGCCACTGCAAGATGTCATAGTAATGTTATGGCATTCATATTACCCGTAACAAAAACGAAAATACTACTTTGTTATCATTATCATCAGTTTCTGTGCGAGATGCCATGGCAGTCCTGCAGTAGTCACAGCTTCTGGCTCATGAATACCATTTACATTTTGGGTGGAAGTGTGTAGGTGTTACACGTGGGACACAACAATTGTTTATGTGTTCTCTGCCGAAACTCGCAACGCCATAAAGACAACGTTAACGGTCTGCTTCGAAGCACTCACAATGTCGCACAAAAGGGATGCTCGGACACCAACAATGGCAACCCAGCGATGTTGCCAATGGAGGTGAAAAAACTTTTGCCAGCGCAAGCCAGAAGATGTGGCTTTGAATTCAGCGAAATAGATGCTACTTTTCTTACAAATACTGCTGTTACTTACAAGTTCTATGCTTCTACTTACAAGATACTCAGTGCTTTGTGTGAGTGTGCATTTTGTAATAAATGTACTGCTAGTGTCATTATATTTTATCACGTTGAGTGAGTTCAAATTACATTTATATCATGAAGAAGTGTATCTTATCATTTTTTTTCGTAAAAGCTGCAAAACGTTAAAGGGTTCATTTTACACAAACGGTGTGGCTTATATACTGCAAAGCGTGTTAATTCTGTTTAATGTTACTTTTACATGCAACCAATCATGCTCTGCAGTGGTGCTATGCTTCCAAGGAGCACCAGGTGACAAGGTGGCCAGTGCACCAACTAAAAATGGAAATTGAAAAGCAAAGCCTGATGTGTCATCACCTTCACCGCAAACAACACAAAGATACCTCAATAACTCCATTCACATTTTTATCCTTGTCGACACTCCCTTCGCTTTTCGTAGTTTCAAGTGCACACTCAACCCATCAGCCGTCCGCTTTGTGTGCCCTGGACATTAGTGACATCAATGCCTAGCACTGAGAGATGATTAACACAACAAGAAAATGGGTGTTATGCTGGAGCTCAATTCAATAGAATATCTTGCAGCGAAACTTTGAGCACTCAGTGTGTTATTTAGAAAACATTTGAAAATGTGATTTGTACAAACAAGGTTTTACTGCAAGAACTTATTAGGCTCTTCCTGATATAAGGGGCTTTTAGCTTGTACGTATACTTCTTTATACTTCCATGTTACAGGATAGCGTATAGAATGTGTGCATGCGAGTCTTTACGGAACCTAAATCTTTACGTAACGAAAGATATTAGCCGGATAGGCTTTATGTTTGTGGCTCTATCTCGCAAATCCACCTTCGTTCGTAAGAACTCGCAATATCCGCATTGTGGAGACTCCAACCATCGAGCCAAAATAAACCGAACTGCGAGGGCCCAAGGCGATTACATTGTTTCAGACGGATTACCGAAGCTAGAATGGCCTAGAACATTGAAGCCATAAACGTCTGAGCCCCCTGACAGGCTGGATAGGTAGCGCCATCTAGCGGGGCCAAAATGAAGCAGGCAATTGCAAAATTGTTATTGCAAAAACATCGTGCTTTGTACGTCTGGAGTAATAATCTCGCAGTGGCATTATGACGAATAAATTACCTTTTTAATCATTTTCAACTCAAAAAAGTTACACGTAAGCCAACATATTTATGACTATGGTTACATTCGATCTAACCTAAGTTAAATATAGTTTAAATGCAGTTTGCATCACCATGTGTAGTTTGAAGAAATGTAAAGGTATACGTTCATGCATAAATATAAAAGTTTAGATATAGGGGGCTAAAACGATGAAGATATGCATTCTGATAACACAGTGAATGCAAACAGGCACCCAGTAACAGGTTAAGATAAAGAAGTGTTTGTACAAGCTCAAAGCCCCTAAAATACGAGGTCATGCACTCATACAAATGACTTGCACTTAAAAATTTTCCGCTATTAGCCGTTTAAAACATTAACATGCATAATGTTGATTTTTACTTAAGCCAATGACAGCAACATTGATTTTTAACACAAATGGTCATGTGTGCAACTCTATGCCAGGTAATAAAATTGTGAAATACCAGCTCGGTTAGCGCTTTGTGCGATACGACTGAACTGCTCCTGCAACTGAGGGTCTTCCTGCAGCAGGCCTTGCATAACATCGGCAAACTGGTCAAACTCGGCCGTCCATGGATGCGGCCTCTCGGTGCCCAGCACTGGCTCTGCTGCCGCATTTGGCTGCACCTGCGTGAATGACTCGTTCATTGCATCTATGCTCGAAAAAATGTAAGCAGAACAAACTTCAGGACTCTGCAATCGCTCCTTAAGTCCGCAAGTGTGAAGCAACTAGAAAGAAATTGCTCCAAAAGTACACAACTGCCAAACTAGTATATTACATTTTGTTTCGTGCACATTCAATTTCTAACCCAGCAACACTGCCTGTGTTGTCTCTTTACATAGCGCTAGACAAGGAGGCACAGAATGCCAAATGTTCATTTGTAAATGCTGGGCTGCTCACCAACTTGACCCTGACATTCTCAAGCAAGAGTGAGCAATGCGTAAGCGTAGTGTCAATAGCACTCCCCAAGAAAAAAGTTAAACTAGCTTAACAGAGTACAGGTCGATAGTAGTTAAAACCATGGCTTCCTACTGGGTGATTCCACGAGAGATCGACACGGGTCCAAAAGTTGATATTTTAGATTTCATTGAGTATTTTATATTTCCTGCACCTCTCACCAGGTAGCCCAAAAGTAAACTTCCTTTTATGATTAACGGCATAACTTACAAGAAAAAAAATATCAAACTTCACCAACACGGAGGCACCAATTTCGTCACCTGTCATTTTCGAAAATTGCAGATGCTATAAAAAGACAAATATTTTTGTTTCAAGGAAGATATTTTTTACCTGAAATGCATGTCAGTTTTGCATTCGCACTGCGGATACTTGCGCACGCTGTTTTACGTCTGCTCTCATTAAAGGTGAGAGACATAGGAACAGACGACAGATAGATCACTTTCGTGCTGCTGGTTTCACACATAGTTGCATTGCCAGTAATTTGAGCCTCAAGGAGCATGGCCATGGCTGACCACTTCAGCCGAGATAGAGTTTTTTGTTCAGATAACCTCATGTTGCACAAAAAGAAAATACCTTATCAAAGAAACTTCCGCAAGGTCGAAGACATCGGCCTGTTTGCCCTCCAGAAGCTTTTGCCGAAAGCTGCCCGCCATGCACATAACAACGACCACGTCTGCCAGAACTGCTTCAGATGCCTCAGAGATATGCTGTCTTCGTCTAATGGCTTCTCAGCTGAAACAGCTGATGAGCCTGTCAATCACCAAATTTCCTTTGTATGATGCTGTGTATCATTTCAAAAATAGCAACACAAACACATATGATATTTTGAAGAAACTTGGTATCGAGTCTGGCACTGCGAGAGCTTGCCTCACAAATTATTGGCACAGCATCGCAAAAGCATCCCAACACAGCACTAATGCTGCAAATTAAGCTAGGAAACGAAATTGTGAGTTGCTACTCGAGCAAAGCCTCACAATAGTAAAGTCCCCGATGGAAGAGGCTCGAAACATAAAGGATATTAGCGTTCCAGGTCATCTTGTGTAAGTGCTGCACCTGTTTAAAAACTTCTTTGTTGATTTTCTCAGAACTTGTATTTTTTTGAAGGGAAACAGTCATAACATTTTTAGGAACAAAGATTCTTCAATAAAACTTGGCACAGTTCCTCATGACGTAAGTGTGCACTGAACCTCAATCAGCAAATTAATGCCGGAATACTTAATATGGCTGCCCATAATGTGCAGGATTGAATTAAGAGTCTTAATATAAAGCCCACTTTTAATGAAATTCTTAATTATGAAAAATTAGCGAGAAGTAGGACTTGCTTTATAATGTTTACATGTGCATAAAAAGATTAGCTTTATAATGAAGTATAGTAAACTTTAGCGCTCATAGCATTTTAAAAAATTCTGACCTGTGATCAGATACCTTAAAGGGGTCCTGCGACAGTTTTCCGCGTAGCCATGGGATGGATGCAGTAAAAAGGAACTTATTTCCTTACAAACGCCACAAAATTTTTAGGATCAATTCAGTACGAGCAGTGTTACAAAGTCGACGACATATTGCTAGAGCATTGGGCATTGCTAGAGTTACAAAGATTTCTACCACACTACGATCTCATTCTCTCATCCCAAAGAAAAAAAAACATTGGAATCTAAGCAGGGAGAATGTTATGGGGGAAAAAATACGTCACACGCGGCTCATGACCTTGAGCACTTGTTTTCTCGTCTTTTCTTCTTCGACTGCGTGGCTTTTCAGAGCAATCGTGTGTACACACGCGGACAGGTCGTGGCCTCCCGCAGTAGCCCAAGTAACTCCAGAGCGTGCCATGTTCAACTCAGCTAATGACGATACTGGGTCCTGTGACACACTTATTTTTCAAAATAGAAAGACTTCGAGAATTTATTCTATATTCCAGGCCACATGCCGGGCTATAATATTTGGCTCAAGTGTTTTTGGAAAGCCTCGACAACAAATCAACAGTGTTTTCTGAACATGATCGAAATGTATTGCAGGGCCCCTTCAAGAATTACAAAATCCAATCAGCATCATAAACACTGTTATAATATGCAAATGATGTGTTAATTCTTGCTGATGTTGCTTTTAGCAGATGGCTCTTCAGCGGATGGTGCAACAAATACTATAAAATGATACTTTTTCTCACCTTGGCGGAGTCACTAGAAGGCTTCTCAAAATCTTGCAGTGCACCTGAAAGATCACAAGAGGTTGAAAAGAAATGCCTCTGCCCCAATTTCGCCCCGAACATAAAGGTTTCATTGGGGCTTGGCCCTTAACTACCGACCCATTTCATTAACCAATGTACCTTGCAAGATCATGGCACACTTCATATACTCTCACATCATGACTCATTCTGGTTCTTTAACCCTTCACAGAATGGTTTCTGCAGAGGTCTATCATGCCAAACCCAACTAGCCATCTTCCTTCACAATTTACACACTAACCTTGACCTCAACGTTCAGAATGACGCCATATTTTTAGATTATGCCAAAGCATTTGACAAAATAGCCCATAAAAGATTAATACTAAAACTTGGTCAGTTAAACATAGATCCCAATATCCTCGAATGGATAAAGGTTTTTCTAACAAAGCGCTCTCAAACTGTTCTTATTAATAGCATGACATCTTGCCCGCTCCCAGTAACCTCAAGTGTGCCACAAGAATCCGTCTTTCGGCCCCTTCTGTTCTTAATTCATATTAATGATTTGCCTACAACAGTTTCAGCTAACATCAGAATGTTCGCAGACGACTGCATCATCTATTCAACTATAAATAACCCTCTTGACCAACATGCTTTACAGACTGATCATAACCACGTCATAGACTGGTGCCAGCAGTGGCTAATGACTCTAAAACCTAGTAAATGTAAATCTGCAACTTTCTCTCGAGGTTCTGCTTCCCTTTCTTTTCGGTATTCAATTTCTGGTGTTCGCATCAAGGCCGTTAACTCGTTTAAATATTTGGGGGTGACCTTATGCAATGACCTATCTTGGCACACTCATATTACAAATATCGTAGCATCTGCCAATAAAACACTAGGATTCCTGAAACGCAACCTTCATCATGCCCCCACTCACGTAAAACTACTAGCCATCAAATCACTCATCAGACCGAAACTGGGGTACACATGCACTACCTGGAGCCCACACCAGTCCTACCTCGCATCTGCCCTAAAAGCAGTCCAAAACCGTGCTGCTAGATTAATTTATTCCACTTATTACTGAGCTAGCATATCATCATTGAAAGCGGAATCCGGTTTGTCTAATCTCTGTCTTCGTCGTCGCATTGCCATGCTATCTTTATTCCACAAATTTTATTACAATGATTTCTGTCATCCACCTTACATCGTTCACCTTACCCGCATACCTCATCGCCGCATCATGAACTGCAAGTGTCACGCCCATGTGCTCGCACCCTCACATCTTCCTCTTCATTTTTCCCCCGAGCAGCAACAGATTGGAATGGCCTTTCCCACACTATTGCAGCCATTACGAATTCATCAAACTTCTTGGACAATTTAACAAACTTTCTTACCGAGTGAAGTCACCTGGCTACGCTGTATACCCACCCCTTATGTATTACCGCCTTGAGGGGCCTTTAAGGAAATAAAGTGATGTGATGCTTGTTTGCTTTGAATTATCTGTAGTACACAGCCTAAGTCGATAGAATTGGAATTAAATTTTTGGCTTTTAAGCATCACACCACCAGTTTTATTGCAAGACCTGCTGTGGTGAAGCTAGGGTATATCTGGGGTGCGATTTCGGCAGTGTTGAATTCGCCAAAGCCCGTTTAGTTATGCAAAAATTAGGCGAGTCGTGATGTCGTTGCGCTCTTCACCATGTTGACGTACGGAACCTGCAAGCTTATTCCCAGCGTAAAAAGGAACTAAGTTTGAGTTATATTTCTGTGTTAATGTATCCGTGAATTTTATTTTCTTGATTTAACTTCAGCTGAAAGTGGGTGCTTGTGTGTGCTCTTTCCTGTGTCTAGGGTAATGAGGTGTATTAAATCCCACTCAGGAGTAGTTGGGTTTACATTGGCTACACTGATCGCTACCTGAATGTCAGAGTTAAAGAGCCCGAACTTTGTAGTCAAAACTTTTGTCGGTTCATTCCAATTTTCCGCTCGTGTGAGACAAGCTTTTTTCAGATTTCTGTTCTTGCCAAAAACTCATGATGTTCTGGCCCAGGAAATAACAGAAGCGTTTCTGATAAACAGGAGAGGAAAATTGAATATACATGCCACGTTAACGGTTTCGTACATGTGCGAGTTAGAATTGCGCATTTCTTTGATAGATCAGAGGCGACCTTGCAATGCCCTCATGCCTGATGTGTAGCTTAGATGAGGCAGCGCTGTTTAAGTATGTGAGGTGCGGCATGTATATTGTATGCTGTACTTTTTTAATAAAATCAGTGGCGAAAGCTCTTTTCCTCTGCTTTGCCTTTCTTCTAGTAGTGCTTAGACGTCCCAATGTGTTTTCCTCAAAACACTCACACGCAATTGCTTTTATCCAGTTGGGCCACCGCGTTACACGAGCGCTACTTCAGGGGCATCAGTAAGAACATAAGTTTGTGAGATGTGGAATAATTTATGCTACTACAAGCCACTTGACGTAAGCTCATTTATTTGATCTTTAGACTAATAGATAGATTTTGTGACAATCACAGTAACATCTTCTGCCATCTTCGTTAACAGGGGCACTCAGGCACTGCGGCGATCGGAAGAAACGGCGCCCCGGTGCGATATCGTGGCGGTGTCATTTTATGAAGTGCACTACAAGTTGCAGCGCTGCATGAAAAGACAGCCAAAACACTGAACACTTCCACGGGTCAAGCATCGCAGCGCTCTGGGCGACGCTTGCGTGCGGCGAGAAAAACTTGTTCCGCGCACGGAACTTCCTTGATTACACCAGCACTCGAGGAAAACACCCGGAAACATTAGACAATGCGCGGGCCATTCAGGAAACTTTTCCTTCTTGTCAAGAGACTCAAGGCCAGATGAGGTGACCAGAAGTGTCAACAGCACGCCGCTTAAAAAAAAATCGCGCTTAAGGCAGCATTACTTTAAGACCTTCAGTCGTCGTACTTGAGATTTAAGTAACGAGGAAAAGCGATGGCAAGCTCAGGGTGGGATATGCTCTTACTGTCAAGAAGGTGATCAAGCTCCTCGTCAACAGGCTCGTCCTTCACGGTCACCGCAGGATCATCACTTTCATTCGCACAGTTCTGCTGCTCTGAAGCCATAGAGAAACTGAACTCGACCACATACACAACAAGCACTGCTCCGACCAACGCTCCGACCAAGACCTGTGTTCTGTCACTGCTCTTGTCTTGGCTTGATCATAGCTGGCTAGCTACTTGGCTTGGCCTGAAAGGTAATCATAAATAATGGTGTAAAAAATACAAAGAAGCAGAAAAATTTGTATTTTAAAATATTCGCTCAAGGTTTTTTATGCCATAGTTGATGTTTATGCAGAATTTTTTACGTAATTATATTACATTCAAATTATGTTCATCAAGTTTTACGCAAAGCACCTGGTTTAAAACCAGCGCGCGATTTAAAGAGCGCCGACTACGGAAACTACAATGGTGTGGTAGTGTTGTAGCATCGTCAGTAGTGTGTCGTTTGGCGCCGAAAACATGGCTCTTTTTGCGATTAAGGCCTGCGGGGTCAAAGCAAACCAGGCTACCATGCCGCTGCACCCCGAAGTGATTTATGGTAAGCAGAGATACGAAGCCTCCGGGATCTGTAGTTTCAGTTGCCGCACTGGTCGTGCGTGTACGCGGGACTCGGGAATTTTCCGAAAACAATCTCTAAAGCACAAAATTTCGAGAGAAAAAAAATCCCACATCTTCACGAAGTGAATGTGGGCGAGTGGGCGAAGCTAGATCGGTAAGCTCCACAATGTCTACGTTGAAGTCGCCGACTGATATACATAACAGGCCAACGCCGCCTCTAGAAAGATGCCTGCCGCAAGAAAAAAAAAAACTGCCACACCCTTTCTCTCCTTCAATTTAGAATGTTCTCGGTCACTAGCGTCACCTGTGGCGGACGGTGCGGCAACGCAACACTTCGCATAGCCTCTGAAACAGTAGTGTGCAGTTGCAGGTCTCGAACAATTCTCGACTGACGCGCCCCTATGGGCCGCAGATGAAAAACGCTTAAATGCACGGGGGTAAGGTGGCTAGAATGTAGCCACCCTAACGGGGGATAGCTGGTACCGCCCGTCGTCGTGATGATAGATGGATGGATGAATAGATGGATGGATGAATATGGCTGTACCCTTTAAATCGGGTGGTGGCTAGCGCCACCAAGCCGTAATACTTAATGAACCCAAAACTATATTTATTTTTTTCCCTAAAAAGTGAGTTTGAGGATTCGTACTTTGCAGTGAAGAGTTTAATTTTCACTCGTGCCTTGACTTTAGCCACCAATCAGATAACCTCCTCCTAGTTAAGTCTACTTGCTTAAAGTCTATTTTGCCCTCCCGGTCCCTAAACCCCAGTGCTTTGAAAAACTCTGCGTCATCATCCTGAACTATAGGGTGAAGCCCTTTACAGAACATTATCAAGTGTTCGGCAGTTTCTTCTTCCTCTCCACACGCACTGCATACTGTGTCTACCCCTTCGTATTTGGCCCGATATGTCTTGGTTCGCAGTACTCCCGTCCTTGCCTCAAACAGTAGAGAACTACCCCGAGTATTATCATAAATCCTTTCCTTGGCAATTTCCTGCTTAAAAGTTCGATAGATAGTGTCAGTCGCAAGCGCCACCGCACGGCGTTTGTTTAAAACTGAAGGCAGGCCAACTCCGCTGGGAGCGCGAGCCATTCCTCAGGCATCTTTCTAGAGGAGGCGTTGAACAGACATACGGACGGACGTACGCACGGACGGACGGATGGGCCGACGGACGGCGCTGACGATCATGTATCGAGCTGTCATATGCTTGATCATAAGCGTGAGATGGGTGAAATGAAGGTTCGTCGCAGCGCCCCCATCTCTATCATGCCAATGTATGCGCCGGACTTTGCGCCCCCCTTCAATGCATTGGAGCTAGCTTTGCGAGCAAATAAGGCGTGCAATTATTGACGAAGAGAACCCGAATATTCGTGAGTGTGGAGCGCACTTCGTTGCAGGCAAGCAAAAATGAGATGAAATATGAAGGCACTAACGCGGATGCTTTTGTCCTCGTAGGAAAACTGTTCGCGTTGTTCAACAAGACGAACCCCAGACTGGGCGCCGTCTGTTTGACTCGGCTACAGCTGCAAGTATGCAGGCGTTGCGTTACATGAGCGCGCGGAAAACAGTGTCACGAAAAGTGGAAAACAGAGGCAGAAATGACGCCGCGCGTAATATGTGTGTTTTGTGTTTTAAAGTTTATCACCTCACCCTCACCCTATATATTTAGTGCTGCCTTATTGTGTAGTTCCAATAGGATTAGATTCGCGGTTCCCAATAACCTTTTGTTACCTAAAGTTCACGATAAGTATGAAAAAAGAGCATTGTTTTTTATCGATTTCATCAGTCACCTGATCTGAAAGATATAATGCGCATTAATGTTTTAAGGGAAAATTAAGACAGTCTTTGTTCAATGAATAATTACTGAAATTCGTTAATTTTGTAAAGTTGCTTCGCATGTATGTAATTCTTAACGTGCTCAACTGAACATTGAGTAATGTGCTTTTTGCTTGTAGCACATTAAAACGCTCTTGTTAGTCATTGTTCGCAATTCAGTTTTTACATTATATTAGCAAAAGAGGTCCTGCCCGCGGTTGGTAACTTTGGGACCTCCTCCTGCATATTTGCCTGCAATGTACTAGATATTTTATGCCAAATAAAGATCGTTTGATTGACTGGTTGACTGATTGATCGAGCACAGACTGACGGGTGTTTGTGAAGCCGAATGTGGCTCGCTCTCGATGACGGTCCGCGTGTATAGTGACTAAATCCTCAGTCTGTCCAACGCCTCCTAGATTTCTTCTGCCTGCCGGATTATCGGCGGTCACTTGGGAAGCGGCGGTCGTCGGAACTACGGTGGTGACGCCACTCAAGTAGGAGTGTCTTCAAATAGGTTTTTACGTTTTTGGAGCTTATATGCAACAAAAATAACGTTAAAAAGCTTTAAAAAGGCGTAAACGTAATTATAATTAACCCTACGTAAGTGACGCCGTCATTCAACAAGCAACTTTTTTTTTAATACGAAGCATCCTCTGAAATTAGTAGAAAAACGCCAAAATTGCCGATCTCAAAGGCCAAGTACAAAGACCCTTACCTCTACGTAGGCAGCGCTGCCATAGATGACCGGTGTTTTGCGCTCATCCGGCAGGCACGGGAAATCTAGGAGGCGTTGGTCTGTCACTCTATCTATGTGTACGTCAAAACGAACAGCAAAGGGGCGCGCGAACATCTCGCTGTGGATGCATGATAACTAAGCGCAAACATCAGCATTTGTTGAGCTAGCAGCATTCGCGCATCCCTATTAATTGATAACTCAGGGTTGGCGAGTATGTCCATTTTATAAACCATTCAACTTAATACCTCTGCACGCACGATCAAATTTCCGCCCTGATTTCGTCTTAGGGTCTGATAGCGCACTGCGAAATAATTTGGTTGGTTTTTAATTGCGTACCGATACAAGTGAACAATTGCGATTCTCGCAGTGACAAAAAAAAATAGAACAACTGATTCAGCACATGGAACGTCGTTCGCATTCTACATTTCTGTAACTAAGGGGGTGTAGGGACGCATGCTGTTACGCCTGGGAGTCCACACCGAACGTCGATGCCTCAGCAAAGGCAATCTGTGTCAAAGCTAGCGATCGAGCCCGTCTGACACGATAAACTCAACGACGTCATCACGCGGCGGCACCGGTCTGCCTTACGCAACGCACAGCAAACCCCCTCAGTCCACGAGCCCGTTGAAGCAATCGGCGCTTTCCAGTCTGGCGAGTCTTACGCAATGCATGGCAACGTCACTCGTCCTTGGGTGCAACCACGAGCAGCGGCTCCGGATTTGATGATCATGACGCAGCCCAGTGACGGGTCTCCATTGGAGGATTCTGACATCACGGCCAGCGGCGCTTCTGGTTGGACGTTGGTGACGAAAAAGGTCCTCCCAGTGCCTATAAAAAAGGCCAAGCAGCGCGTCGCCAGCAGTTGACGTATGCGTCAGAGAAAAGCCGACGTATGCGTGTGAGAGAATAGATCTCGGCTCTTCGAGTCCCTAAACTGTCGGCCCCAGTGCCGAACTTGTAACGTCTCTATTTCTATGCTGTACATAAACCTTGCCTTAACTCACCGTCGTCTCGTCCGCTCGTCTATCAGTTCTGCGCAGAAGCGGTCGCGAGGTGAGTAACACACGCTATATACCAGACGGCTGGTGACCTTAGAGGCGGAGTTCGGAGCAGCGGCGCCTCCGGGACCGTGTTGGCGTCGCGCCTTCGTAACAATGCATCCCTATTTATTATAAAAAAAAATCGTGGGTAAAGTTTCTTGGTAAATGCTCTTTCACATGCCGCGATCGCAGCGGAAAAAAAATTTTTCCGCTCACTGTGTTGGCAACCGCCGCTAATGGCGGTTTCATTTCAAATGGACTCCAAATGCTCTGCGATTTTCACTTTGGGACTGTCGCAACGAGCAACATTTCTTGCCACCGTTCTTTGTCGCAGAAACTGCAGAATTTTTATAGATATGTATAGCAATCTGTGCGTCATATTATTAAGTTTCCATGAACTGTAACGAAGAGCACGCGTGTTTCGTCATTTAAGAACACCTTCTTATCTAAAACCATTTTAAAATGCGCAACATCGGCCATTACTAAATTAAACACACCGACGCAACTTCGACGGCTCGGCGGGTCCAGCCATATTTCGACGGGTACCGAACAAAAATGGGTCTGCCCCTGCGATCAGGGCGAAAAATTTCCTAGAGACGAACGGGCGCACGCACGGACGGACGGATGGGTGTACAGAAGCCCGGACGGATAGACGGACGCACAGGAGCATGGACGAATGGAAGCACGAACGAACGGGAATCATTAATGGACGGGCGGAGGAAAGCATTAACAGACAGACAGACAGACAGACAGACAGACAGACAGACAGACAGACAGACAGACAGACAGACAGACAGACAGACAGACAGACAGACAGACAGACAGACAGATAGATAGATAGATAGATAGATAGATAGATAGATAGATAGATAGATAGATAGATAGATAGATAGATAGATAGATAAACTGACAGACGGATGAACTGACGGACGGACGATGGACGGAAGCTTCGCCCCACTCATCATTATTGGCTCCATGGATATGCAGCGAAATCCACTAACGCCA